GAGGTGTTCTGAATTACTCAAAAGGAATAGTTCATTCAAAAAATAAGTTTTATTATGGATTACTTGACTCATATTTTGACCAGAAGCAATGGTTCGCAGTTCAAATGCCTTAATGATGGATTTGTTTCTTACAAACATGCAGCTTTTCACTTCACATGACGTTAATTGTTCCTTTGCTGAGCAAGTGATGTAATGTTAAATTTCTCCAAATCTGGTTAAATGAAGAAACAACGTTTTTTTTTTGGGATGAACTATTCCTTTAAACACAATGTTATGTGGTTGCTAGGGAGTCCTGGGTGGTTGCTAGGTTGTTGCTTACTGGCCCAAGTCGAAAGAGATACGGCTCGGGTTTTTCACTCATTTTATCACTTGCCGAGAGAAAATCAAGAATCTGGTTATCTAGAAAACTAACAGCACACCAGGCAGTCGCACCTGAAATTCATTGGTTGAATCAAATCTGCTCAAGCAAACAGAACAATGTTCACAGAGCCATAGTGTTAGATTTTTTTGTTTGTTTTTTTGAAAAGTCAAACTGCGAATGGCTTACATACAGTTAGTTGTCTGCATATTAAAATGGGACACATTTACAGTATACACTTCACCTTTAAAGAACAGCCTGATAGATATATATCCAGTTCTGAGAAAGAGCATGTTACACTCCTAAACATAAAGGTCCGTTTTGAACCATAAGGCCATAAAGAACGACTCTGGGTTCCCAAAATAACCTTTCAGTGAACAGTTCTTAAAAGAACCCTTTTTTTCTTAATGTGATGAACATTTGAATAATCTGGTGAACACTTCCATTATAAAGAACCTTTTGTGAAATTGAAAGGTTCCGTGCAAGTTAAAGGTTGCTCATGGAACCATAGATGCCAATAAGGAATCTTTATTTTTAAGAGTGAATTTGCATCTAATGCCAATGAATGTAGTAAAATCGTAGCGCTACTTTCCAGAACTGATTGATAAATGATTATGTTTTATGTGATATATGAAAGGTTTAGGTATGGTTAGACACTGTAAGCACTAGAATATGTTTCTAACTAACACCTAATTCACTAGATATGTCACTAATCTAGCTCTTCAGGAGGATAATATATTGTAATATTATTTAATGTTGTATAGACTGTACCTTTGTCTCTAGATGGCCTTTTTGCTAGTAGCCCCACAGGTTTGTATACGAAGTGAACATTTGAGGTGTTTACTATTAAAGGGCTATAAATAGTGAGGCAAAGACTGATGGAGTGTGTTTGAGCAGTGCTGTGAAAGTCTTCAGGCCCATGAAGCTAAATCAGATCCCTCAGGTGACACAATTCCACACGCACCAGCAAACAGATCTGTTCGACATAAATAGTAACTTATGCTTCTCTCATTTCTGTCCACATCACATCCATCACTGTCTGAGGAGTTTTGCTATTCAGCATCCAGCTATTCTTAGTTTCTCTATTTTCATTACACGGTTTTCTGGGATACATGAATCTGATTGGTCAATCGCAGTCAGACTGACCACTAAACTGCACGTTTAACCATTGTCCCTGAAAACCTCCGCAGACTCTTTCTTCTGACATAATCAAATAATTTCAAATAAAATCAATATTGCATATCCATTTATGCCTTTAAATGATAAGCAGCGGTCTAGTAAGTGGAATAATGTACAGGCAGATGGTCATTATCTCAAAATAAAGCCCTTAATGACCGGCTGACTGTACATTATCTCCTGATATATTTTTGTCGGCTGGTATATTGTGCTGTGAGAGAGACTTGTTTGAAAATTTAGTGGCTTGCCAGTAAATCGATGGGATGATTTGTTTCATTTTTGTAATTTGATCTTCCTTTGCTGTTGCAATTTGAGATAAACTTTGACAGGCCATTTTATAGGCTTTATATAATAAGTAACCACAGACAAAGACAACATCCATATGTGGTCTGAAATCATTGAAATCTCAGATTTTAGATATTTTAATCATTATTTGGGGTGCTACAATATGTAAAAACTACTGTTCAAAATTTGAGGTCAGTGAGATTATTTTTAATGTTTATGAAAGATGTTAAAAACAGTGATATTGTGAAATCATTTCTTAACATTATCAATGTTAAAAACAGTTGTACTGCTTTTTCAGGATTCTTTGAGGAATAGGAAGCTCAAAAGAACAGCATTTTTTATTATCAATGTAAAATGTCATTTAAAAATATCATTTTAACGCATCCTTGCTGAATACAAGTGTTCATTAAAATAATATCTTACTGAGCACAAACTTTTGAATAATAATATACAAAGTGCTCAGTATTGTTTGGAACTGTGTCAGAATATACTCCCTCACTTTTGTTTCCTCAACAGTGAACAAAAAGGTGGTTTTGTACACAAAATATGCACGAATAACTAAAATCACCAATGTTTTCTCATGCATCTTGTAAGTTCAGCAGAGTGGAGAGATGTCATGACAAAACAAATCTACCTTCTGTCCTCTCTTTCCAGCTCTCAGTTGCTGGCATCCGGATGTTTACTACATTGTCAGAACAAACGGATCAGTTTTCACTGCAAAATGAAATGTAAAAATAGATTAAAAAAACGAACAAAGCCTTAGTCCTAAACTTAGTAGCGACACTAAACCGTTTCAGTTTACTAGCAGCAGTGACACAAGCTTGGTCCTCAGTTTGTCAGGTACACACACTGCTATATGGTAATTAGCAAACTTCACAATGCTAGTCATCCTATATATACACACAACTAGATGTCTAACTCGTATATATGGTGCTTCTAGACACGTACACAACAAGCATGACTGAATGTGGAATCTGCTGAAGCCTTTACATATGATTCTCGCACAAGTACTTTAGGAAGGTCAGAAGAGCACAGAGGCATAGATGAAGGTCCTGAGTCAGTTTTTTTTTTAAACAACCTTGCTCTCCCTATCAGATGTGATTGATTGGATGTATGAGCACAAAAGCTAAATCTGCTTTACTGTGCTGAGTCAGCAGTGAGCGGTCACAGGACTCGGTCATTGGCGGCTCAGCTTGGCGAGGGTTATAACATATGGATGGATGTTAAATGACCCTACGTGATGCATGCAGATCTCTCTTGACTCTAATGATATAGGAGCAGATTTTGCTGAGGTGATTCTTCTGGCCTGATTCTGTTGGGATTTGAATTGAAGAAGCTGGTCCTAGAAAACACCAAAGTGCACTATTCATCTATTTTTTCAAATTTACTTCCGCACAGAACATCTGTCCAGAGAAACTAGAAAAAAATGTGGTCCACAAATGACACGGTGACTTCCCTGCTGTCCATAAATTTCTGCCCACACCAGTAGAAATGCACCTTGTTTCATATAAATAACTGACATTTTAAAATAGGATGGTTCACCCAAAAACTGTCATCATTTACTCACCCTCATGATGTTCTGAACCCATTTCTTTCTACCATGAAACACAAACTGTGAACAGATCAGAACATTTGTGAACAGATCATTTTTGAGTCAAATCTTTTCAGTGAATCAGCTGACCAAGTTTACAAAACCAGTCTGTGAATGAAAGACTTGTTCACAAATCAAACTGATCCAGTTCAACTTATTTATTCATTGATCCGATTTGTTGCAGTTCTCAAATGAATAGCTTAATGGAGTCTAATTCAATACATCCTTGTTGCATCAAAGTATGGTTTCTTAAAAAAAAAAAAAAAATTCTTACTGACCCCAAACTTTTGAACGGTGGTGTACATTCTTCAAAATTTCTCCTTTTGTGTTTGCTGGAAGAAATACAGTCATATGGTTTTAGATAAACATGAGGCTGAGTAATCGATGACAGAATTGTCATTTTTGGGTGAACTATCCCTAAGGCTCTTGGGCAACAAAACCACCAACAACTTCCAGTCACGTGTGATTAGAATTAGTCTTTTTTGAAAGAGTCTCCAGAATCCAACTTCTCAAGTATTTTGTACTATGATCATCTCGTAAAACTGCTTGATAACTGGGAACTTATATGAAAAGGAGAGCTGGAGTGGTTAATTGAAATACATTCAATCGCCCGCTTGGCTGAGGCTCCAAATGCAGGATAAAATCAAAATCCTTTCTTTGTTCTGTGATAAACCCCTTATTTAAAAGATTGTATTATGTGTTTAGCATCGGAGTGTACTGTCTTCTACCTTAGCAGGCATGAGAGTCTTTCATGATGTTGTTCCCTTTCCTGTGAGCTTCCTTCCTCTTTTCCCCCGGGGTTTAGATAGATCCTTGAGTCCCAGGATGCAAACAGGCTTAGAGAGCATTAACACGTACCTTTCATCTTTGTAAAAACTGTTTACAATTTTCGCACTGCATGATATACACAGCAACAGATGTACTCATCATATCAAAGCGAAAAGTGTCCATGTTGAATGCGTTTGCTCACAGAAACTATTACTAGCTGCAACAATGTGGGCAATGAAGAGCAGCGAGTGAAGAGTAAGAAAAAAATATAAGGGTCACAATCTGAACATCTCGGAGAAAACGCCACACATTTGTCCCCAATGTATCCAGTCAAAAGATTCAATAACAATAATGAAAGTTCACATTGAGATCTGTCAAAGATTGGATTGGATTGAAGATTCCAATTGGAAAACTGCTATTTTTTTTATGATTATGTCATTTTGTTTTAAAACTCCTAAAACTATTGCACTATATGGCCAAAAGTTTGTGGACGCACAAAAATGTGATTTCTGAGCAATTAATTCCAAAACTATTGGCATTAATAAAGAGTTTATCCTCCCTAACAGCTTCCACTCTTCTGGGAAGGTTTCCAGTAGATGTTGGAATATGGATTTGATCCCATTCAGACACGTGTATGGCTAACAATCGCAATACTTTTGGCCATGTAGTGTATATTATATAGTACCTTAATCTGATAGTTAGGAATAATCTGAGCTCTCCAATGAGAGAAGACTCGAGAACAGGATGCGACATATAACTCTGTCTATTAAATAAATACACTCTGCCAGTATTTATCAACCTTTTTTGTGTTTGTGTCAGGTTCCTCCCACGGTCTCCCATTGCCGTCTGAGACCACCGATGCTCTAATCTGATTCTGAAGCAGTTTTTTCCCCTCTGTGTTTGGCAGGTGGACCTCGTTATCTCTGTACATTTCCACCCTTCATCTATGTTTCAGCTGAGGATCATACCCTGTTTGGCCCATAGCTGTTATCCCTGGGTTTTGCAAAGGATGTGGATGGTTAGCTGAGGACGGAAAGAGCGGGAGCAGAAGAAACGGGGACTGATGCTTCATTTCTGTTCTGGTCAGACGGCCGACGACTGCTTGATGCTGTGGAAACTGACCCGTGTCGGAGAGGTGGGTATAGACATGGCCCGTGCCACCCGTGCCCGAATGGAGTGCTTATCCTGCCAGCGGTGCCAGCGCTTACGAACGGCTGAGCGTACCTACGGACATAGAAAGAGACGTTACTATTGATATTAAGAATTTAATGTAACACGACTGCACAAGTTAGTGTCACTACAAGGTTTTAAGAAAATGTGGGGGAGTATCATTTAAATGAGATATTTATCAAATTAGCAGTATTTATCTGTCACACACACAAATGCAAAAACATTTTTTAAAAAGTGTGTGTGTGTGTGTGTGTGTGTATATATATATATATATATATATATATATATATATACACACACACATTATAGGGTACAACGGGGCTAAAGGCACACCTTAAGAAAAAGTGTGCTATTCACTGCGCCTAAAATGTATAATTGCAGAAAAAATACATACGTTTGTATTCAACATTAATGGAGCAACAGATTTTGTGTGAAAATAAATCATTCAAGTGGTTTATTTTGTTTAAAAATCTTATAAGTGTATGAGGTGGCAAGGGGAGCCTTTTACCCCACACACGGGGTAAAAGGCTCACCAGCATGGGGTAAAAGGCACACAGTATTGACACAAATAGTTTTTTTTAAATAATGTCTAAGTTAATACTTGTTCATAACAGTCACTTTAGCAAGAGTTGTACTATTTTCTGCTTATTTTTTAAAATAAAAGAATACATTTTATTTCAATAAATATACTGTCATTAAAATATGTTAATATAAAAAATATATATTTTAAAATACAGAAACAAAACCATTTTAAAAAGTAAAGATTTTGAAAGCATTGAAGGAGATCCCATAATAATTGAATATACATTTACAGTAGTAACAACGAATTATATTTTATTATATCATGTTTTTAAATATGATGGTTTCATTCTAAACATGGCAATTATCTCTAATATGGACACCCAACATAATATATGATATTTACCATCTGAATCTAACCATGTCATGTCAACAAATGGAAAAGTCAGCCATCTATTAATTATCATGTTAATTACTGTGCGCCTTTAGCCCCAACAGCAGGGGCGCTTTTTACCCCAAATACCATACTTATTATTTAGTTAATTAAAAACTGTTGCTTTAATTATCTTAAACAAAATTGAAAATTGTTAAGAAGACCTCTGTCTCAAAATACATGCATTAATTTGAGCTATTCTTATTTGCTACTTAAATCTACAACATTTTAAAAAACATAAAATATTAGATCAAGTAAGCACAGAGTAGAGTGTATGTATATACCGTATTGGCCCGAATATAAGACGACCCCCCTTTTTCCAGATGTACCTTTTGGAAAAAGTCTTTTTAAAAACCAAATCTTGTTTTTTCTCAGTAAAACACATTTTGTCTTCAATTATTTTCATATTGCATATTTTTCCTATTTTCCTTTTTGTTTTGAAAGTATGGTAAAAACTGGTAAAATGTACCAACAATCACATTTAAAAAAAATACCCTTTTTGATATACCATTAAAAAAAAAAAAAACAGGTAGCCCATCTGAATTAGGACATTTAGGCTATCCATCTAATAGTAGCCTACCAAAATCTTATTAACAGTAGAAGTTAAATCTTACTGTAGGCTAGTCTTCAAATCTGGGTACTGTCTTACGTTTTAAAATCACAAAGAGAGTTTGGTTTATTTTCCTCTAAACCACTAGATGGCACAAAAATGTGACGTAGCACTTTCCAAAATATCTGCTTTTCAAGATGCACGTGTATAATTGTCTGATCCTTGACGCGATCGCGCGCAGCAGTGCAAAGTTGATTCTGTGCTTACTTGATCTAATATTTTATGGTTTTTTTTTTTAAATGTTGGAGATTTAAGTATAGCAAATAAGAATAGCTAAAATTATTGCATGTATTTTGAGACAGAGGTCTTCTTAACGATTTTCAGTTTTGTTTAAGATAATTCAAAGTACAAAAGCGCAGCATGTGTTTTCTGTCAAACACGTCACCTGTCATGCTACTGGTCCTTGCTAGAGTTTGCACTCTGTGTTCTCATATCTTCCTGTTTAAATATACACTCTAAAAAATGCTGGGTAAAATATGGACAAACCCAGTGATTGGGTTGTTTTCAACCAACAATTGGGTTAAATGTTTAACCCAACCTTCTGGGCAGTAACCCAACCGCTGGGTCAAAACAACCCAATCGCTGGGTTTGTTCATCACTGGGTTGTATTTAATCCAACATTTTTTTTAGAGTGAATAAACACATCCAAACTTCTAATAAATGATTGCAAAATGTAGTAACTTGTGTTATCTTTGTTCAAAAATATTTAATAAAAAAATATAAATGTATTTTAGAAATATTAAAAAAGTTGTTTCTAAAAAATGAAACATATTGTGCTTTTGTTAGTTAAAAGGTTGGTGAGAAAAAGAAAAATCAAAAAGAAAAACATCACACATCATGCACATAACAATCCCACACGTAGCATCTCAATATAATTCATTTTCATGGCGAAGAGTAATATTAACAAGATTAATAATATTCGGCCTTTCCCATAGTGTGAGAGAGAAAGAGTGAGAACAGGTGTGTTTATGTGGGCGAATGTGTATGTGTGACAGGGAAAGAGGAAATAAATACATATCCGTGTGGGTACATGTGTGAATGACTGTGAGTGTGTGTATGAGGAGCATATACGTCAGAGAAAAGCAGTTTAATTTACAGTAGACAGAGAGAGAAATATGGAGAAAGTGGATGAGTAAGTGAGTGGGTGGTGATACACATTATATTTAATACAGTGGGGTCCAAAAGAACACTAGTGAAAATGCTTTAATAATACTAATAAATCTTTCACATTTTGAATGAAAGGAAAAAAATAAATATATATTAAAATATATATTTAAAAATACAATGCAAGATCTGAAGAGAGAGGGTTTATATTCTACATATATGAAGATGAAACCAATTTCATGGAGCTTGCATATATTTTACACTGATCTGAGCCGTTTAGTTGCTTTGCGAATGGATCAGATTTGGATTTAGAGCGGCAGGACTGGTCAAAGGTCAGCAGTAAAGCTCTGCTCCCAGCAAAAAAAACTAAACAAAACATATGAACATTGAATCATTAACATTTAAATCGCACCAGTGTGATATATGCCACCAATGAAAAGCTACATCGTTTGCATACTCAGCGTTCTATCATAGCAACCAGGGAGTTAGCAACCAAACTTATGGCATTTTCTTAAGCTGTGCTGTCAGCAAAGGTTGAAATTGTTACAGTCCTTTGACAACTAAAATGTCAAATAAAGTTTAAATACAGAGGAAATATTCAGACGGCTGTGGTCATATGAGAAAAACCTGGACCGCTTTAGACAGTAATTCGGAGGGGGCCGTTTCACTGAATCAATGTATCGGCTCTCAGAAAGACTGTAAAAGGCCTCGTTCTCTGCAAATCAATCAGATGGATGTCGGAGTAAACATTTAAAGCTCCTCTCTGTCTCCACCTCATTCAATACACTTTGTAGGGGGCCTGTCTTTGAAGCGGTCAACGGACAAATATTTGCTGGCGCTCCAGTGCGCTATGGACAGCGTACAGCTTCCACGCCTGTTGCTCTCTCGCTAGATTAGGTTTTTGATTTGAAGTCACCAAAGCTTGTCAACAATGCTGCCTGCGCTGAAATTTAAACCAGTAAACACTTTACAAGCCGCTGAAGCAGAAAAACATGTAAATCTTTCAAACATGTTTAGAATTCAAATCATTCTGATTCAAGCCAGGAGCTGAAGGATGCTATATTGATCAGACATTTGTTTACATAATACAGTGTATACAAGCACATAAACATATATATATACATTATACACGTGCTGCATATGTGTATATATATATATATATATATATACACACAGTGTCTATATAGACATAATATGTGTATGTATGTATATGTATAATATATAAACATTCATTTAGCTATTAATTGTAATAATAATTGTAATAATGTAATAATTTTTGTTTGCACAGGGAGTCTGACGTGCATCTTGAAAAGCGGATTGTTTCGGTAAGTGCTACACCAAGTTTTTTTGCCAACTAGTGGTTTAGCGGAAAATAAAATCGAAGGTGCCTTTTACCCCGGGGCGCCTTTAGCCATGTTGTACCCTATCTAATTAAAATGGCAAATTATTAACATTACCAATTTTGTTTACCTACAATTATTATGCAATTTAATTATCAAAGAAGTTGCATTCAGAATAGGGCTGTGCAAAAAAATCGAATGCGATTTTCATGCGCATCTCGTCAGTGAAGACACTTCTGGTGATTAGTAGTAAATCTCCAGCACGTGCTTTCAGATGGAGCGGCATTTACTACACAGAGCCGTAGATCACTGACAAGCTACACAAAATCACATTCAAAATCGGCAATGAATTTTTGCGATTTTGAACGCGATTTTGTGTAGCTTGTCAGTTCGCATGAAAATCGCATTTGATTTTTTTGCCCAGCCCTAATTCAGAATATTCTTAACTTAAAACTCTGAGTGGCCACAGTTTGAATAGACATGAAACAGATGCTGGCAGCCTATGGCACAGTATGAACAGTTGCCCATGCCCCTGAGGGTCAAAGGTCAGTCTCCACAGTAGATCAGAAGTGAACAGCAAAGCTCTGGTGCTGTATGTAATTAACCTTGGTGGTGGGTGTCAAGTGGGGGTTTCAGAAGATGAATCCAGGAGGTCAAACTCATGCCAAGCGATGAAAAATCAATCTAGAGAAGAAACTTCTGACTTTGCTCTGAGCTTGACTCTCTCTTTTTCTGTATTTATTTAAAAGCGTAAAACCCCTTGGGTCACTGACTGCTGACACTTAAAGCAATGTTTGAAAAACAGCTTTCAGAGTATTTGCTGAAAATAATCCCCGACATTCACTTTTTCTTTCAGCTCACACAAGCATGAAAGCCTAACTGTGCTTTCCTAAGTACATAATTGTAACTGAGGCAGTATAGACTGAGTTTTTCATGGCTGCTTACCATCTATATATTTAATCATAAAAATGTACACATTTAACATCACAACTCTTTTCAACCATTCCTTCAAAATTAGCTTTAAAACTGGTCACATACAAACTGGTCACATACAAGCTTAATTGACCTTACAAGATTGACACAGCACTGATTTGTCTGTCAAACTTACTGAACTGTCTGTGACATATGAACCTACTTTTTTTCGACAAATTCCCAGCATCATGATGGTGCCATACAATGCTACAAGATACGAGAGGCTAGTGAATGTAGTTTTGTTCATTTGCAGACTCAACTTTTCGTCTTCTAAAGTTATATTTAGTGTTTCAACATAACATTTTTATTTATTTTTTTTTTGTGCAAAGATGAACTGCATTTTAAGCAATTTATTCCAAAATCATCTGGTACATCAGTGAGAGATCAAACTCATAAAGACATTTTGTTTGACGGACATAAATAGAGTAACCATGTTTTAAAAGAGGTATGGTTAAGTAAATGTTATACAGTCAATTATTAAAGCTACACTCAAATTTAACTGATTCTCATGTGTATTGTGACTCGACAGTTTAAATCGTGAATAACATTTCAAGATTTTTCTGTGAATAAAGACTTGAATTTTGGTCTGTTTCTCCCTTAAAGCAACTTCAGAAGTCGTGTGAACCTTTTCTGTCCCTATACTGGAGCCTGAAAGTGTGCATAAACACACATTTTTATTGCATGCTAAAGAAAAAAAATGAGGACAGTGTACACAGTGCAACAATGATGAAATTTTCATTTTTGGTTAAACTTTTAAATAGCTTTCACTGGTAATCAGATTAAAAAAACTCTGATGCAACACATTGAGATAAAGTGAGCAAAATACAATCTGGCTGCAAGAAAGTGCTTTATTGGACTTCCAAGCCAGATCATTTCTCTGTTGTGCTTTGACTTTCAGTACCAAGTGTTTGTTATTGCAGCTGTAATTTAGTACCACAGGCTTTTTCACGTTGGAGCCAAAAGCACCTTCTGAAGTATCACAACGCGGATGACATTGGTATTTTTTTGGAGGTCTTGTGTCTGACATTGCGGTGTCCCTTTCATATGTACCGGGAACAGATCAATGTTATCACTTTGACTTTAAGCAACACTGTACTCTCTGCTTTGCTCGTGTATTCTGATATCTATCTGTGATTCAGGGTGACCTCAGATCAAGCCCCACACTTTCCTGCTTGCCTTGAACTTGTTCACTGGCTGAAATGACAAAGAAATCAGCCCAGACGGATCCAATCCTGGATCTTTTTACAGCACCTGTAAGCATGTTCGCTTAGGGGTACAACATGATGCTTAAGATGTGCTTGCGTTTGCGATCTGGGCACGACGCTAAAAAGGAATATTTTGGCTGGAAGTTCCCAAAGGTTTACTGTCCTTTTCAAAGGGCATGTAATACAAGCCAGATTTAGACCTCGCAGGAATTAATATTTCATGAGCGGAGTCGGTTTTTATAGTTATTGACTGCCAAAAGGGTGGTTTTGGGTTAATGGTGAGTTAGGAGGGTCTCGATGTGATTCTTTTTTTGGCTGGGTCTCATTGGACAGCCATGGCTGAAGAAATCTGAATTGCCCAAATTACTCAGACTCAGGGGCGTAACAGGCATTTTAAAAGTGTGTGGGGGGGGGCAGCTGTCAGGTAATGTGATCCTCAACGGCCAAACAAATTATGTACATAATGTACAAAGTACATTCATGTTCACATAATAAATTCTATATAGAATACAAATTGGCGAATTTTTATTAAATAAATATATTTTATGAACAATATTTCTGTTACACTACATTTAAACGATAACTTTTATCCTAATACTTAACAGTTGGACAAAAAAAGTGTCTTTAAAAACTATTGGAACACACTGCCTTTACCTATACAACAAATTTTATTTAACAATTTGAACATAAAATGAAAATATATATTAATGTTTAATTCCTTAAAACATTGGCAAGTAGTCCCAGTTAAAAAAAACACTGCCTTAAAATAATTCTCTTCTTTCAAGACCTGTATAGATTCCGGAGAGGTCGAGCAACTGCCCTCCCCTCTCTCTCTGTCAGAGACAGACC